CCAACAACACACACACACACACACACACACACACACACACACACACACACACATATATATATATATATAAAAATTCAATTTTTTTCTATCATTAATATAATTATGTATCGTACTATAATAATAGATTTGAAATATAACTAGCCAGAGTTAATATATCATCTAATATCTCGATAATCAATTTAACGATATTAAAAAATCTTTTTATTTGCTAATCTTAATCTAATGCAATTTAATTTTAAAATTTTTATAAAATATAATAATAAACTACATATTTTGAAACATTACATATTATTAAATAGTTTTCTAGTAATATATTTTTAAAAGAATTTTTAGTTTAGGTAATAAATAAATAAATATGAATATATTAATGGAGCATTTTTTAATAAATTATGAAAAATTAAATTAGGATAAAATACACAAATTAGATTATTTATTAGAGAATCCACGAAAGAAGGAAAAGAAAGTTATGCATTTTTCATTATTAATATCACAAAATAATACGCGATTTATTTTTCTGGTGTTGGATAATTAAGGGAATCGCAATTTTCCATTGATTATTCGAAAAATTGGCTCTTTCTTTCCCATGGCGATCTTGGAAATCTGAGAAACCGCCCAAACTAAACATAGAGCGGACCCACCGCGCACCCGGTGACGCTTTATTTACGAACGCGTGAGGCCGATGGAAATCTTTCCAACCGGCTCCAGACGCCGATTACTCCGGAGCGAGCTGCTTTTATGAGTTCCGATGTTTAATGTCACCGCGTTACGTATACTGCTGCTTTTTGTACTCGCTATTGCATATACACACCGTGAGTCGGATGTCGTTACAAGTACAAGACGCAGATGCATACATGTAGTTTTACATGTCGGCAATGATTTTAGCTATGCTTTATACTAGATGCTTTATACTAGAAGATCAATTAAAAGAATTTAATTCGTAATTAAGGATAAATTATAATTGAAGATTTTTAATCAGCGCAATCGAATTAAAGAAATTGATGATATTAAATTAGTTGTGAAGAATAAAAAAATAATTTAATTTTTTTAATTTGCATAAGTGCATTTAATGCACGGTGTAATATCCGGCAACAAAATATTTTGCAAAAACAAGTTTAATTTTATTTAGTTGTAATATTTTGGATTATTTTTTACTATAAGTTATTTATTAACCTATCTAATTATCCTTTTTTTCGTATAAATAATTAAAGTTTCAAGGTACGCATGTACACGTAAATCTTTTATTTACATTCAAAATTTTTCTTAAATGAGAGATCTGTTCCTAATCTTCTTTTTTTTCTCTCTAAGAAAACTCATTTTCTTAACAGAATAAAAATTTATCCAAACATTGAGATAAAAAAATTAAAATTTATCAATTTTATTATTGAAAATGTTAATGAAATATCAATTGTTTTTTTTTTCAAGTTGATGTTTTCGAAAATCGACAAACTTGAATTTTCGATAAACTTGAAAGGCTCTCTGAAAGCGAAAGGAAGAGCACAAGAAAACACGTTGACACGGACGCGAGTAACGATTACAAAACCGCCCAACGATTTCGCATTCTTGCGCTTCGAACGTTTCTGGATCCGAGGATGAAACGGCGAGAGGAGACAGCTTCCCATCCCGATCGCACGCGATTGGCGCGGGCGTACCGAGATGACATGGCTTTCGACCAATCGCATAGATTGGGCGTCACTGCCCACTGGTTTCGTTCTTGCAATAATATTTGCACTGGCACGTCTAATCCATTAAGGCTGCCGCCGTCGCCGAGCGGCGTTCGGTAAATTATTTTATCGGCTCTTTCTCCGCATACCGTCCTCTTCACACACTCGCTCCGTCTTCGTTACACGTAAGCGCAAATATATTCTCTCTCCCACAATTGGTCGGATCCCTCTCCTCCCACCACACCTTTCTCCATACGATACGACGGGAGCATCCCACATGAGACGTACATTCCACGAGATGCGCTCGTTACACGTAACTGACATCATGAGCGCTCAAAACGAGAGATTTGCTGTCGCATTAAGTCCCCGTCTAATCGTTCATCTTATCCGTAACAATAAGTCGTAACAGCTAAGAGTCAATAATTTTCTGCGTCGTGTCGCGTTGAATCTCTGCATTAATGTCACCTCAAGTAGTGCTTTTTAGCCTTGTTTAGAGTTAAGATAGCCTATTTTCCGTAAACGATGACTTAAATAAGCAATAATAAAAAATTAATCTTTTCTAATTACGTTGAATTTTACAGTACAATGATACGATGTTCAAATCAATTTTTAGGTTTATCAATAATTCGATGAAAGCTTCGAATGCTACCCAAAATCCGAAATTCTTAAAACTCTTGAATAATTTGAAAATCTGAAAGATTTTTCGTAAAAGTATGAGTTTAAATTATGCAATCTGTAATTAAAAATTTTCGGAGCATCCTGCGTAAGATAAAGAAGTGAGTTGACTTAAGTCTTTGGGATTTAATAGGATTAATGGGATTGTATATGTTCCAGCATATTGAAAAAAATCATACTTTTTATAAATATACTATTTAACAAAAAATAAGAAACATTTTTCAAATACTTAAAATTGCATAATCTTATGCAAATTGTTAAAACTCGATAAGCAGTAATTAATTAGAAAGATTGCGCGCGCAATGTGCATAGTCCGACTGGCAATCTCTACGTGATACACATGGCTAATTCTAATGCCGATAAGAATGATAAGTGTTTTTTAACATTTTTTTTAAGTATATAATTGATTTTAAAGTTATGTAACTCAACAAAAAAAAAATCACACGAAAATATTAAAAAAACATTTTATACACAAAATTCTATCTTTCTTTCTTGACTATGTTTTGAATTTTTCTAAAAAAAAAATTTTTATAGCTATCATGGAATCATGGAGCTATGGAATATCAAATATAACTTTTTAACAAAACAATAAATTCTGTTTAGCTCAAAGAATTGACATGTTAAAAGATTTTCAAAAGATTTCTAACTGGAAGCTCATTAAATTAAGAATTAAGAAAAAAAATAAGTTCCAAAATGTTTTTTTTTAATTTTTCTTTTGATGATTCTTTGATCGAGTTTCAATGATTTAAAGATTAATTTATTTACAATTTTAAGCATTCGGAAAGTGTATTTTATTTTTCGTTGAACAATATATTAAAATAATAAAATTAATTAGAACTTGTTTTAAAGAGAACGACTTAAACTTTGAAGAAATATTTAAATAATATATTTAAATAATATTTAATTATTTAAAAAATCATTTATATAAAATACATCAAAAAGTTACATCAGAGTAAACGTAAAAGCTTCAACATTGTACATAATTAGATTTATCCTATAAAGGAATGCAGATCGCGCATATCATGTTGTTATTTGTCAGCCAATAAAATTCATCGCGACAGGAACATATAACTGAAAATCTTGTGAAAAAATGAAAAAGTGACTGTGCTATTATTTGCGATATGGCATTACTATTTCTCTGTTCAGTACTGAATTGACAAACAAAAACATGGCGGAATGGTCACGTAAGCGGATATGCAGGAATTAAAGATATCGACCTGAAGTATTCATCTTCATTCAGGCTAGATTCAAAAACATCGAATGTATCATTTTAATCCTTGTTATTCATAGAATGTTAAATAAAGGAAAAATGATGTCTGAGTACATTTGAATGTTTTTCTGAACGTATCCTGGTTATTGTTGTACCTTTCTTCTTGTTTGATGATTATTTAGATAACTGATTACATTAATCTCCGATGCTATTTGTACATAATGTATAAACACACATAATTTTCAATTCTTTCAATAATAAAAAATGCTATTATTAGTTACACGTTATAGATCAACTTTTGAATTTTCTATAATTTTTATTATTATACGATAAAACATAATTTTTATCAAAATGTAATGTCTAATTTTAATAAATCCTAATAAAAAAACAACTTATTTTAACACATTACAATTTACTTAAAGAAAATTTCTAAAAGAAAATTTAAAAATTACAAAAAGTAAATTTAAACAATTGCATAATTTTATAATTTTAAGATTATCTTGGAAGAAAACATTAAAATTGTCGACATTTATACAATTTTTTCAAAATTACAAATTTTTACAATTCTTAGCTTCTTTTTTAGATTTTTCTTTAAAAGCTTTTTATTTTTATCTTAAGGCTCGGTTTTCTCGCTGCAGCCATATTGAATTATAACATTAGAGACGAGAAATGACATGTAAAAAGGTTTCTTGCGTCGTATAGCTGCATTTTTTCCTTAAATACATGATATTTAAATACATGATATTTTCATATTCTTAAAACTTGTAAAAGATACCAAAAATAAGAAAGTAAGATATCTGTCCAATAAATAAAAAAATGTAAAAGTGTAAAATAAATCTTGAAATAATCATACATTGCTCAGCTATCGGAAATCATCAAATCACTAGATCTAATTTTTCCGATAGCTGAGCAGTGACCATTATTTCAAGAATTATTATTTTACACTTTTACGTCATTTATTGAATAGATACCTTACTTTCTGCTATTTTTTACAAGTTTTAAGAATATGAAAATATCATGTTTTAAAGGAAAAGTATAAAATAAAGCTATAGAAAAAACTTTTTACATGTCATTTCTCGCCTTTGACGTCACACAACCCATGTCGCCCCGCGAGAGAACCGAGCCTTAAACAAATGTTTGATAAATATCCAAATTTACTTTTTATATTTCTTAAGTTTTCTCTTCTAGGTTTTTTCTAAAGTAAAGTTTAAGTTTTTTTTTTAATTTAAAAGTAGATGTTAAAGTAGATTTTTTTCAAAACAGTCAGGAAATCCAAAAGACTCAAAATAAATAATTTGATTGAAATTTTATGTTTTTTTTACCTCTGCTATTTTACATTTTTATGATTTGATTCTTATTTATACATTCAACGACTTCACGACCTTTAAAAATAAAACGAGATTTCTCAATTCTCAAAAGGTCTCGAAACCAAAAGGGATAAGAAAGTAGAAACAAAAATATGTACAGCATACTTCATTGTTGCTTTATTTCTTTTCGTTGTTATTATTCTTTTGTTGTTAAATCGATTATAATTTCCTTCCATATTTCGCATATATCGCAATAATCGCGACAGTATAAAAAATACTGTACATAAAAAAATGCGCGAGCAAGGCCGCTCAGATAAATAAGCAAAATGCAAATAGCATCGAGTCGAGGGAATGGATATCGAAATATCGTCTCGCTTAAAGTCTCCGTTTAAACTCTATCGCATAATTATTTACAGGGCGCTTATCTAACGATCGTGTTACAATAGTAACGCGTATATACAGAAGCGAGAAAATACATACATATGCATGAACTTTGGTGCGGAAGCTTCGTCACATTCTTCGAATAAAATCAAAAATGAAATGTCATTCACATCGAAAGGTATTTGGCTATAGGTTTTGGCATTTTCTTTTTCATCTAAAAGAGGATCATTGTAATCCCACTCCTGGGAGAGTTTCGATCTTTCCAACTTTGTCTAATGCAAAGCTCGATAGAGAAACCTCGAATCTTTCGCACCGATTTAACGTAATAATGCGTGACGCACAGCACACTCGCGATTTGCTTCAATGTGTTCCACAGATGTAATTTATATTGAATAAATTATTGTATTGTCCGGCCACGTGAGTGAGTCTCGCTATTGAGTATAAGATTCATTTGGTTGCGCCTTCGTATTATTATGAAAAATATTACGTTCAAATTCGAATCGTAGAAGAGAGAGCTTATGTGAATTCACAGCATTTTTATTTGGTAAGAGAGTACGCGACGAAAATAAATGTATGTTTCTATATATTACAGTAGAGCTTTATATATATATATATATATATATATATATATATGTATATATATATATATATATATATATATATATGATATATATAATATGAGCGAGTCAGGCGAGGGATCGTTTGTTTTTATTTTCTTCCTGTCTCTCTCTTTCTTTTCTTTGCATATGTTAAGTTAATCCTGTATTACATTTATATATAAAATATATATGCACGGAGCACTCGTGTGCATTTACCGAACAATAGACACGGTTTATACAGAGCAGCTAGGATGAGCAGCTATTATTCTTTCTGAGATCTGTAAAAAACGGAGTCGCATCTCATCACCGAATTAGCGAACCTTTTGGTTGAATTATTATTATTATTATAATTATTGCATTTTAATGTGCATTTTAATCTTGTTTCGCTCAAATAGAGTTTCGATAAAAAAGAAAGCTAAATATTACGAATAGCTGCTTTGTATAAAGCGGCATTATCTCTATTCGTTTGATAAAAATACACGGAACTATTTACTTGTTTGAAAATTATAGGCGAAGCTTTTTCACGGAGAAAAAGCAATTAAATCAATATAAGAAGTTTCTTTCAAATATTCTCTATGAACAATAATTCATATTAGCAAAAATACACGGATTTGTTGTGTAAAAACAACACGGAGCCTTTTCTCGAGGCAATTAAATTAATACGATTTCATTTAAACTATCCTTTTCTCCTTTTAAATAATAATTTATACTAATAAAAATATATATAACTAATAAAATATTACGGAATTATTATAAAATCTACGCGACGCCTTTTCTTGAGGCCAGATCAGATATATTCTTTAAACTATCTACTTTTTTCCTTTTAAATAATAATTTGCATTAATAAAAATAAAAATAAATAAGGCACATCTAGAGGTTTTCCTGCGTCAAATGTCTGAGCAATCGCCAGCGCGACAATGTCGATTATACATCCCAATGATTGGATCCTCAAAACGTAGTTTTGTAGATACATGGTGAATGTTTTGTCAGAGCTGTGACAGATGAGTTTTCGTTCGTTCGTTCGCTCGCACGCTCGCCCGTGAAAATTATTTTTGGGCAATATACCGATATCGGCAATTATATCAACGCGGAAAAAACGGGTTTGATGAAGAAAAAGACAGAGGAGGAGGAGAAGAAGGAAAAGGAAAACTCTTTCGGAGTTCCATTTTTGGATGCTGCACAGCTCATTGTTTAGGTTTAGTCCTCCCGCCAAGGGAAGTAGCCATCATGGTCATTCTCGACGTTTTTCTTTTGCCGTCGCCACGTGCGCTCACGAACGCATAAGGGAACGTCGGAATACTATTTCTGGGGGAAACATTGAAAAGATAGATCGTGATCGATTTCGCAGAAAGACAGGTACGTTCGCGAGAAAAAAAATTTTAACCTTTTGGTATTTGGTAGTTAAGGTTACCAATTTTCGGCCTCGTAAGGGGGTGATCTGCTGGACAAATTTAATTTAATTTTAATTTAATTTTATCAACGGTAAATTGATAAATTCCCGGATTGTCGGATGCCTGAGCGAGAGGAGTTTTTAACGGTCATCTCCAGCCTTAGGCAAACGCATCGGACGTCCCGTCGAAGGGGACGGATGCATCGGATTTGTTTTTGTAGCGCTGCGAGAAGCGTCGTCGGGGGTGTCCGAAAAGGCCCCGCCGGGAGGGAAGAGAAGAGACGGCATGGCGGAGGGACGCCGAACGTCTCGGATGTGTCTTGGCTAATTGAATTCAAAGAGATTTATGGTCGGCACCGGCGTGTTGCGCGACGAATAAAAAAAGCAGGCATAGGAGAGTGCGCGGTGCGATTCGCCCGCTGTCGAGATCCCTTCAGGACTGTCGCCGGCCGAAACGTAGATAAATGTTTTTACCAGACCAATTAACGTTAGCGGAATAGCCGAGGAGAGACTCGGCTGCTAATCGCGCGAACTACGGATCGCGTTCGCCGGATCTTGGTTAATCGTGGATCATAAGGTGGGAAAAGGAGAGCGGGATGCGCGAGTGAGATGACGATATTAATGACCGTCCGACGAACTCGTGATATTTCACGATTACTTCATCCGTCAGTTAAGCCGTAAAATTGCGGCAGTTTGCAAAATCCTAAAAATAAATTCTCGGAAATGTTGTTTACGATAATTTTTAAAATTGATAAATGAATTTTTGAACGCGATGCAAGTGTGTCGTTTTTGCGAAATCCGCTCGTTCGCGATCGGATCGCGCTCCTTTTTCCCTCTCTCGTGCACAAGATTTTTTTTCGCGAAGATTCGCTGCCGCAATAGAGTCGTGCGAACGGGCGAAGGGGAGACGAGAGAGAAGGGAGGGAGAGGGGGGACTACTCTTCAACGCCGCGCGTCTTCGTTAAGCGGTTTAAAACGCGGCCGAAAGTTTGCTTTGACCGGTTTAAAATAACTAACGCCATTCGGAATATTCACGGTGCGGCCCGCGAGTTGCGGTTGTTTTATGTGCGTTACGCGATGAAGGAGCCTCGACGGCGGCTCTTCTCCCCTCCCCCTGATGAAGAGACTGTCATCTTGGGAGAAAAAAATAATATTGTGCCCGACCGATGGGCGCCAAAATACTCGTTAACTCTTTCTATCCCCTTAAGAAAAAAACAGTCCGATTATTAAATAGACGGATGCGCGATTGCCCTCTTCGCGCAGACGATCGGAGGACAGACGATTATTTATTATCGAAATAATTGAGAAATTTGGAATAATTGAGATATTTTCCGGTACCGGTAAAGATGAAGACTTCGATTAGATGCGAGGTAGTTAGTTTTCGGAAATCTATCCCGTTTGTCTCGCGAGAACAGCGTCGAATTTCTTCTCACAAAGTATTTCCATTTTCTTCAGAATTACCTTGATACATTTTGGGCGTCATATCATTTGAAACGACGTTAACGAATGTTTTAATGAATGCCTGAATGAGAGGATGAGATACTTGCCGCGTTCGTTGCGGTTGTGGCGTTTACACCGCCGAGGTGGTTCATCGGCGAAAATTCGCGGCGGACGCTCGGCGAGGCCGAGCTTATGGAGCTCGATAAATCGCCACACAAAGATTGTTTGGACAGACCGGGTAAACGCTCGTAAATCCGCCGTTAACGGGCTGCAACGCGCCCAACTACCTCTCGAGAGGTAGTCAAAACGGAAAATGGATGCGGAGGGAGGGAACCCCGACGATGATCGACCGGTCCGTCGTCGCTCGTCCCGTCCGTTGTTCCTTGTGAAAACGAGATGGAATCGTCGAGAATAAAATCGTCGCTTCGCTCGGAGGCATTTGGCAAAAGATGTGCAATTTTGCGTCCAAGTTCGCTTGATCGGCGAAACGCCTGATCTATCCCGACGGAGGTACGAAAGATTACGAGATACGTGTATAATTTTGCTGATTGATGCAGGTGTGTAACGTGTGTAACGTGAAGCGCGGGGGCTAATAAGCGCGCGCTTTGCGACACCGACGGCGGCGAGTTGTCGCGCCGTTAATAGTCCGACGAGAAGACGTAAATTATTGGCTTGCGTTATGCCGCGATATCGCGTCGTCGTCGTCGTCGTCGGGAATCAGCCGGGGCAGAAATTAACTGTCGTGAATTAGGTTTCAAAGGCCGGGAAGCTGGAAAGGGACGCGCCGGGCGTGTTGGGTCTACGTTCGGAAACATCCAAGTGTATCATTCTATTCTTGTTTAACATTCGATGAACAACGAGGATCCGAGTGATACACTCGGATAGCGTTGCCGAACGTAGCCTTATTATCTCGTTCGCGGGTCGCGCGAGATTAAGTCGCGGGACAATCACTGGT